ATGACCCCCCCCCCCCCAACACGCACCGGGGGTGGGGATGTTGATGTTTGAAAAGATATGCTACTTAAGGGTAGGGGTAGGTTAAGAAAGAAAATTTGTTTCTGAAAAAAATATGTTTACTTTTTTTTGTTCATAATAAAATGGGAATGAGTAGGTGTGTGTGGGGGGGGGGGGGAGAGTTCAACAGAGCCACAGATCTGATGGGAGGTAATGTTTGAGGCATTATGCTGCACATAAAGTAAGAGGATACATTTCTTCTAGTAAGTCAAGTGCATTGGAGCGTATGAACAATTCCGAATAGTCGAGGATGTGTGGTAGTCGACTTATGGACTATAAACAAACACACCAAGTGCGTCGTGTACAAGCGGTGTACAGTGTACACACTCCCCCATACAACACACTGCACTTATGGACTACTCAGGCGTTGTTTATTTACGAACACACCAAGGATGTCTGAACACACGGGACAGGGGATACACACTCCCATACAACACAGTACGTACACACTCCCATACAACACAGTACGTACACACTCCCATACAACACAGTACGTACACAGTCCCATACAACACAGTACGTACACACTGCAATACAACACAGTACGTACACACTCCCATACAACACAGTACGTACACACTGCAATACAACACAGTACGTACACACTCCCACACAACACAGTACACACTGCCATACAACACAGTACGTACACACTGCCATACAACACAGTACGTACACACTCCCATACAACACAGTACGTACACAGTCCCATACAACACAGTACGTACACACTGCAATACAACACAGTACGTACACACTCCCATACAACACAGTACGTACACAGTCCCATACAACACAGTACGTACACAGTCCCATACAACACAGTACGTAAACACTGCATTACAACACAGTACGTACACACTCCCATACAACACAGTACGTACACACTGCAATACAACACAGTACGTACACACTCCCACACAACACAGTACACACTGCCATACAACACAGTACGTACACACTGCCATACAACACAGTACGTACACACTCCCATACAACACAGTACGTACACAGTCCCATACAACACAGTACGTACACACTGCAATACAACACAGTACGTACACACTCCCATACAACACAGTACGTACACACTGCAATACAACACAGTACGTACACACTCCCATACAACACAGTACGTACACACTCCCATACAACACAGTACGTACACACTGCAATACAACACAGTACGTACACACTCCCATACAACACAGTACGTACACACTCCCATACAACACAGTACGTACACACTGCAATACAACACAGTACGTACACACTCCCACACAACACAGTACACACTGCCATACAACACAGTACGTACACACTCCCATACAACACAGTACGTACACACTGCCATACAACACAGTACGTACACACTGCCATACAACACAGTACGTACACACTGCCATACAACACAGTACGTACACAGCCCCATACAACACAGTACGTACACACTCCCACACAACACAGTACGTACACACTGCCATACAACACAGTACGTACACAGCCCCATACAACACAGTACGTACACACTCCCACACAACACAGTACGTACACACTGCCATACAACACAGTACGTACACAGCCCCATACAACACAGTGCGTACACACTCCCATACAACACAGTACGTACACACTCCCATACAACACAGTACATACACACTCCCATACAACACAGTACGTACACAGCCCCATACAACACAGTACGTACACACTGCCATACAACACAGTACGTACACAGCCCCATACAACACAGTACGTACACAGCCCCATACAACACAGTACGTACACACTCTCACACAACACAGTACGTACACAGCCCCATACAACACAGTACGTACACAGCCCCATACAACACAGTACGTACACAGCCCCATACAACACAGTACGTACACAGCCCCATACAACACAGTACGTACACAGCCCCATACAACACAGTACGTACACAGCCCCATACAACACAGTACGTACACAGCCCCATACAACACAGTACGTACACAGCCCCATACAACACAGTACGTACACAGCCCCATACAACACAGTACGTACACACTCCCACACAACACAGTACGTACACACTGCCATACAACACAGTACGTACACAGCCCCATACAACACAGTGCGTACACACTCCCATACAACACAGTACGTACACACTCCCATACAACACAGTACATACACACTCCCATACAACACAGTACGTACACAGCCCCATACAACACAGTACGTACACACTGCCATACAACACAGTACGTACACAGCCCCATACAACACAGTACGTACACAGCCCCATACAACACAGTACGTACACACTCTCACACAACACAGTACGTACACAGCCCCATACAACACAGTACGTACACAGCCCCATACAACACAGTACGTACACAGCCCCATACAACACAGTACGTACACACTGCCATACAACAAAGTATGTACACAGTCCCATACAACACAGTATGTACACACTCCCATACAACACAGTATGTACACACTCCCATACAACACAGTACGTACACACTGCCATACAACACAGTACGTACACACTCCCATACAACACAGTACGTACACAGCCCCATACAACACAGTACGTACACAGCCCCATACAACACAGTACGTACACAGCCCCATACAACACAGTACGTACACACCCCCATACAACACAGTACGTACACAGCCCCATACAACACAGTACGTACACACCCCCATACAACACAGTACGTACACACCCCCATACAACACAGTACGTACACAGCCCCATACAACACAGTACGTACACACCCCCATACAACACAGTACGTACACACCCCCATACAACACAGTACGTACACAGCCCCATACAACACAGTACGTACACACTCCCACACAACACAGTACGTACACACTGCCATACAACACAGTACGTACACACTCCCATACAACACAGTACGTACACACTCCCATACAACACAGTACGTACACACTCCCATACAACACAGTGCTCATCATCCCAGCGTTGTTTATCATCACAGCGACATGTTGTGATGAGAGAAAAAACAAAAAACAATACATAGCCTGATATACAAACAGCGATGTGTGTAGTAACTTACACGATCTATTCATTGGAATTACCGGCCCTGATCACTGGTCATGTGGGTGAGTTCTATTTTTAGAATTATGGATTAGAATAAAAACAAAAACACAATTTAACACGTCGCGTGACTACGTTTATTTTTAGAATAACAAACTATAAACGGTACTTATTGTTTCAATAGGGATAGCTAGACAAATATGTTGATCAAAGGAATGAACAACAGTGGATTTGGGAGAGGGTGAATAAAACGTGTGTTTTTCAAGCATTTCTCCACGGCTACCGCCCCTCGCCCCCCCTCAACAAGAAGAAATAAATGCCGTATATACCATACCTTATATATATATATATATATATATATATATATATATATATATATATATATATATATATATATATATATATTTATATATAAACAGTGTCGCCGTGCAGTCTCCACGGAAACCAAGTGCCCCCCCCCCCCTCATATTGAATAGGGAGCGACTTGTTTAGTTAGAGCACCGGAGAGTAGGGAATGGGTAGGTGGGGAGGATTGGGTTCAGTGCAGTTAAGTCAAAAATTGGGCTTAGGTTGTTGTGTCGGGGATGGGTTTGGTGGGGAAGGGTGAGCCTGATTATAATTCAAAGAGAATTCAAATGTAAAATTCATGAGAGGCAAATCATACCAGCCGAAGAGGTAAAGGTAGGCCCGTAGATGGGGTGGGATAGGAATTAGTTTGAGGTGGTGCGGGTGGGGGCGTATTACGAGCAGGGGAAGGGGTGGGAAAAGGACCAATGTCAGGCCGATGGTATATACTCTTCAATTAGATGGAGCGTGTGTTTTGTTGTTGTTGTTGTTGTTGTATTTAACAATGGTGAGACTCTGGTAGGACTAACTAGGGAACTAAGCAATGCGCCGTTTGTGTTGTCAGACATTTAAGGAAATACGGGGAGGTGAGAAGGGGGGTGTCAAGACCAGTTGTAGGGGCTTGGGACAGACACCATAGTAGGGAGGGTGGTAATTAGGAGATAGGGGAGGTACTGAATTAGGGAGAAAACTGGAAGACGTGCAATTTACGAAGTGTCGCTGAGAGTAAGTTGTTGGTTATAAAAACGTTACTAGAACGCTATTGTCTGATATATACCTTGGTAAAAGCTGCGTTGCGGGTGGTGCGATCTAGTAGGGTTACGGCTTGGAGAGTAACGCGAATACGACATACGGCACAAGGATGAGGGGGGGGGGGGTTAATACAAGTCAACATGATGAAGATTCTATGTACAAAAACTTACTGCCATTAATATCTTCACGAGCAACATGGTAATAAGGTTTGCTTGCTTGTTCTTACAATCTGAAAACAAAGTTAGGTAATCCAGTCAAATATTTGTAATTTCATGAGTTGTCTAACTTACATCGAAAAAAAAATTACACAAAAAAACTGTATTTAAAGGACCATTAGGTCTGATGATAAAAATTATGGTAAAAATTGAAAAAGTAAAGTTAGTTGATCGGAAATAAAGTGTCTAATATTGAATTGGGATGGTTGGTATAAAATCTTGAGGATTATGAAAGTTGCATCGAAGTACCGAAATAAATGGTATTTTTATGGTGAAGCCAACTGGTCAAATGCTTACTCGTGTAAACTTGACTTTAGGGGCAAAGGATAATCAGTGACACAGTGGAGTGTTGGCCTCGAATCCCGACTGGTCATACAGTGCTGTCTTTCAAAAACTATCTCTCTGTTTAAATTTTCTTTCTTCTTCTTCTTCGTTCTTAATTTTAGTGTTGGAAGGGATCCCCCCTCCAACACACTTAAGTACACGTGTCAACTGGTTGTGCACCATTGAGGCCATTGACTCCGATTTCAGCCTGCTTTTCTTTTTGGATTTGCTTCCATAGGCTTTGTCCAACCAAGACCAAACTACAAGGCAGCACTTGCTTTTTGATTTTGGAGTTGTCTCTCCTAGAAGAGCGGCTGTCTCCAGCTAACGAGCCTCATCTGCCCGAGGGTTTCAATTTAATATGCCAAATTCTACTGGGGGATATTGTCAGGGTGTGGGGTAGTGTCGAAATGTCAATGACCTGCTGCTCCAAGGATATAGTCGCTGTTGTGCAGGTTATGTAAACTTACTTGTTGGCTAAGTAACGACGATAGATTTGTGAAATGGTTGACGCAGTGTGGAAACAGAGCTTATTCCTTGCTCAGAAGCGAACCTGTAATAGGAGGTTATACATACATACAGATATATATATATATATATATATATATATATATATATATATATATATATATATATATATATATATATATATATATATATATATATATATATATATATATATAAGTAAAGTTTCTTTTTCAAATCAGACTGTCTATGGGTCAAGTAGAATTTAGCTGTTTCTGTGACCTTGGCAAATGAAGAGAGGTATAGTCAGCACTATACACACTTTCCCCAACATGTATATATATATATATATATATATATATATATATATATATATATATATATATATATATATATATATATATATATATATATATATATATATATGTGTGTGTGTGTGTGTGTAGTGAGGTCCTGTATTTTTTATTAAGTACAGAACTACTGAAACACATTTCGGGCTTTCTAGTACAAGGGCTAGTGAACGTGTAAGTGTGTGTGTGTGTGTGTTTGTGGGCTGGGGGGTAGGGTGAGGTGTCCCCACTAAGTATAAAATTCCCCCACTAAGTATAAAATTCCCCCACTAAGTATAAAATTCCCCCACTAAGTATAAAATTCCCCCAGTAAGTATAAAATTCCCCCACTAAGTATAAAATTCCCCCACTAAGTATAAAATTCCCCCACTAAGTATAAAATTCCCCCACTAGGTATAAAATTCCCCCACTAAGTATAAAATTCCCCCACTAGGTATAAAATTCCCCCAGTAAGTATAAAATGCCCCCACTAAGTATAAAATTCCCCCACTAAGTATAAAATTCCCCCACTAAGTATAAAACAACTCGACTCACGAAGGTGTTGAGGGCCCCGGGACATTCGATGAACTCCTCGGTGCAGACGGTGGGGCCAGAAGTCGGTGACGTCACGGTCGTTTGCAGCACCACCTTGGTGCATCCACCGGCACGGTACCTGTAGGAGCGGATGGAGCAGGTCTCGTACCTGCGACGTCAGGGAAGAGATTCAGGGTTTGGTTCAGGGTTTAGTAGGCCACAAGCATAAAAGACATATGATTACAATGAAGTTATTGCAGCGGTCACATACATCACATTCATAGTAATAATCACACAGGGAAAGAGGTTGGCGTGGTTGGGATCGGTAAAGCTCATGGTTGCTAAACCGAAAAGTCCCGAGTTCGAACCCTCGGGCAGATCAGGCTCGATAACTGGGGACAGCAACGCATCTAGGAGAGAAAACTTCAGAATGCAAAAACTATTTCCTTATAGCTTGTTCGAGGAAAGGCTATGGAAGCCGGCTGAAATCGGAGTCAACGACAAATGAGGCTACATGGCGCATAATAGGTTGAAATGTAATACCTAATTGTGTTTGGAGGAAATCCGTCTAAGATTATACTTAACAACGAAGAAGAAGACCAAGACAATCATAATTACAGTCCCACAAAACACAATTACAATAAAAACCACCGAGAAACACTGATGAGAATCATCACAAAAACACAATCATAATAACACGCAGAAACACAAGTGCGACAATGACAAAAGCTAAATCATACCAATCATAGAAAACATGATCATAACAACCACACAAAAAATAATTCCGCTTCCACTTTCCCAAGCCCTAGCCCATCTACTTCTGAAGCTATTAGCCTGGCATTGTTTAATGTTTTTAAAAAAAATCAATGCAGTGCAATAACCTTTTCCGTCAAAGAAAAAAAAACAACAACCCAAAATCTCCATTAAGTCAACAGAATCCAAAGGCCAATATATTTTTCCTAGAAGAAATGATGACAATATGGGTGTGGGTTAATGGCGGGGATTTGTGTATCGTGGACTAGACTTAGGTCGAGCCTGTGAACTCACCCGTCAATAAAGCCGTACCTCCCCCGGGCTGTGTCTGGCTGTGGTGAGGGTAGGCACCGGTATGGTTCCATGCACGGGTCAATTTTCTGTGCTTCTAGACGGGCTGGGTAATGGAAGATAAACCTGCATCAGTTTCTGGTTAGATGAACATCAGAGGTGATCGTTGGTACAATAACATCAATAGGAAGTATGGAAGTCTGTTTGACTGGTATAGCTACCGTTGCCTAGCCGTAGCACCAGCCGTATCTGAACAATTTTCTGCTAGTACCACCATCATTAACTACTTTAACCCCAAGTATCGAATCAATTTTCGGTTTGTGTCACTATCCTTAACTAGCCTTAACCCCATATATCGAAGCAATTTTCTGCTAGTATCACTATCCTTAACTAGCCTTAACCCCAAGTATCGAATCAATATTCTGTTTGTATCACTATCCTTAACTAGCCTTAACCCCAAGTATCGAATCAATATTCTGTTTGTATCACTATCCTTAACTTGCCTTAAACCCAAGTATCGAAGCAATTTTTTTACTAGTATTATGACCCTTGCCTAGCACTAAACCCAAGTATAAAAGTCAGTTTTTTCTAGTAAATTTAATTTTATATTTACCTAAATCGTAACCCAAGCTTTAAATATAACCTTAAAACAAAACCCTCTCTGCTTAGTATTTGTTTCTCTTTTAACCAAACGTGCTATAGTCAGTACTTTCTAGCTTGTCTTGGGTAAAGTAAAAAACCAGCGCTTATAGTGTCAGTAGGTGTATTCGGTGCTAATTTTATCAGGTATTATACATCAGTGGCGTAGCCAGGAATTGGTCATGGGAGGGGTTCAAATAGTTTTTCCATATGGATAAAAAATCATATATATATATATATATATATATATATAGTGGTGTGAGACCATGGGAGCGGTTATAACCCCCCCCCCCCCCCCAACCCACCCTTACCTACGCCACTGGTATACATAGCCTAGCTTTAGACATAATTTTCACCATAATCCTGACATCAATCCTGAACCAACACAGACCCTTTTAATCTATACCAGCATCTAGCATACGTTGATATCTCTTTTAGGGTCAGTGTTAGTGTTAGGATTAGCGAAATTGTCAGGATTAGGGTTAGGGCCAGGGTTAATTAGCGATACTAGAAATATAACGTCGATACAAATTGTCTTAAAGATTGATCCTCACCATAAAATGAAGAGTGTCATGACTCATTCATAATATTAGTTGTCATACTAGTTAAACCGGAGGCGTAGCGAAGGGGGGAGGGCGGGGGGGGGGGGGGACAAATGTCCCCGGGCGCCGACCTTAGGAGGCGCCAAAATGGGTTGGAAAAACAAATTGAAAGTTTGAAGGGGGGTGCAAATCGAAAGTCTGAGTGGGGGTGGGTGCAAATAGAAAGTCTGGGGGGGGGGGGGTGCAAATATCGAAAGTTTGTCTCCAGCGCCGGGAAGGGTCGCTACGCCTCTGAGTTAAACTACATTTAAAAGTGAGTTGAGTATTGCTAATGGATAAAAAACCAAACTCAAATAAAAATAAAACATTAATTAGTTTAGGATCGATGCATTTTCTAACCTAAGTAGCGGGACCAGTTTCTTCTGTTGCATTCGTTCTGGGACCAGCCTTGGGCAATAACAGGATGAATGGGGTACGAGTTGTTCATGTCATCATAGGCAATGACAGGCTTCAGATGTCATATGTCAGGTGGCTGGAGGGTGACAGACGGCGGATGTCAGGGTGTGGGATGACAGGCTTCAGATGTCATATGTCAGGTGGCTGGAGGGTGACAGACGGCGGATGTGGGATGACAGGATTCAGCTGTCAACACAGGTTGATAGGACGGAGACACCGATCTGCAGATGTCATCACCAGCGATGACAGGTTTCAGATGGCATCAAATGTCAGGTGGTTAAAGGATAAACTTCAGACGGAGACAATACAAATAAAAATAAACAACACTGGGCGGTTGATGGAGTGTGGTATGGATAATAGACGGTGCGTTATGGTGCTTTGTGCGGGATTCCCCATAAACACTCAGCGCGCACACTAAGTAATTTTAAAAAAAACTTTAATTGTGTCTAATTGTTTTCGGAATAAAAATATCATTTCACAAATTTCGATATTTTATATTTTAGTCATTTAAACTAAACTGTAAAATTGGAAACAAAGCTGGTTATTTTAAAGAAAAACATCAACTATACGTCATACTTTTAAAATTAGCATTGCTTTATGCTGTCATCATGATCTCATCGTGTTTTAAATTCATTGCCTGACACATACAAGAACTCTACAGCAGTGGCGTAGCGAGGTCGGGTGTCACCCGGTGCGGCACTTAATGGTGTCAACCCCCCCCCCCCCCCCCCATGAGCGACTCTTCCCGGGGACAAACTTTCAAACTTTCGATTTGCACTGTAACGTTTACCTATCTATCAGCCAAATAGACGGTGAACGTCCCCGGATTCTTTTTTCGGGGTCATATGCAAATGCCTTACGGCCTAAGTGGATGAACACTAACACAACGGCACACTAGGGCTCGAATTCTATGTCTAGGGATAACTAGTGATACTATTGTAATTAACACTCATCCAATCTACACACAACCTTTAATCAGCGAACACAGTTGTGGCAAAACACAAGGCTGAACTAGATAAAATATTTAATGTATAAAATATCAAAATCCAACTTACAAAATGTAGGAAAAACACTATCACAGATTTCTACACTGTCTAAAAATAGCCACAGGCCACACAACACTGCTATAGCTTCCAGAATTACTTGGCGACAAGTAATATTATACTAGAAGACTGAATCAACTTAAGAAAGCAAGGCACACACAGGACTTAAGTTCTCTCACGTTCAAATGGTCAGAATCTATTGCCGGACAATATGGACGGCAATGGTCTTAATAGACTGTTTGATCAAGGTAGACGGCCTGACCAAGGTAAAACTGCCCTGTAGACTGCCACGTGTTGCGAGTGTGCGGGGCAATTAAAGACTTCTGCAACAGGGGAGATCATCCTCAACTCATGTAGCCATTGGTTGGGATGGTCATCTGATTAGAATCATTCAATCAGATCTTAATGGAAAATTTCTGGGCCCTAGACACCTTAATAAGTCAGTGGAAAAACCCCAGGTGTTGCACAATCATTCCATATAAGGTATTATACAATGTCAAAATGAAAAATGGAACCTGACTCGACCTAAGTAGGTCACATCCCCTCCCTTTTTGGAAGTGACAGATAGGTTCCACAAAAACATACATAAGGAACCAATCTGGCAATGAAATAACAAAAATGTTTTACAAATGTAGGCAATCAAAATCATAATGCCAGATGAAAATATCCCTGAACATAAAAGGGAAGTAACTCCAACTTTTACAATTGGTGAAAGGGGAGTAATCCTTCAAAAAGTAATTATACATCAAAATCCCTCAAAAAAGGGTATTACAATATTTCCATGAGGATATTAAAAGTGGTAAACCCGCCAGGGTAAGACCTTTATTTCAATGACTAGCTACAATATCAACTGAGTCATATGAGACATATTATTATAAAAGATTACATATAATCAAAAACCACCTTTAATTAAGGTTCACCTGAAAATAAACAAAATATTCAACAGGATTGGAATTTTGAAAAAATCAAAAATCATACCACTCATTTTCATGTTAAAACACAACACTTGTGTATGGTCTTAATGAACCACAAAACATGTCACATGATCAATGTGTACAATAAGATTTTACATCCTTGACAAACAATCAGCCACAACATTATCACTACCCTTAATGTGTGAAATTTCCAGATTAAAATTTTGGAAATATAAGCACCATCTCAATATTCTTTGATTTGTCTGTCCTAACTTAGAGGTAAACTTCAGGGGATCATGGTCAGAAAACACTCTGACTGGATTGGTTGAAGAAGAGACATAGACTTCAAAATGTTGTAATGACAAAACTAAAGCTAAAGCCTCTTTTTCAATAGTAGAATAATTCTTTTGGTTCTCATTTAACTTCCTGGAAAAAAAGGCAATGGGATGGTCAATTCCCATGTTGTCTTCTTGAAATAGGACTGAGCCAATGGCTAAGTTGCTAGCATCAATGGCAAGTTTAAAGGGCTTGCTGAAATTTGGTGCAGCCATAACAGGAGCGTTTGATAGAAATGACTTAATGGTTAAAAAAGCTTCTTGACATTTATCTGACCATTCAAATTCAACACCTTTTTCAATAATGCAGTAAGAGGTTCAGCAATAGCTGAAAAGTTTTGACAGAACCGTCTATAGTAACCAGCCATCCCAAGGAACTTTTTGATCTCTTTACAATTTTTGGGAGGTGGTAACCTTACAATAGCATCTACTTTAGCTTCAATGGGCCGAACTTGGTTCGTTCCCACTTGATAACCCAAATAGGTAATTGAAGCTTTACAGAAATCACTTTTATGTAAGTTTACAGTAAAATTAACTTCAGACAATTTTCTAAAAAGGTTAGTCAACTGAACAATATGTTCTTCAAAAGTATTAGAAAATACAACTATATCATCTATGTAGGCCTCACATTGGTCTATGTCAGCAATGACAGAGTTAATGACTCTCTGGAAAGTTTGACCAGCATTTCGCATACCAAAAGGCATACGTTTGTATCTATAAAAACCATTAGGGGTTACAAAAGCAGATATTTCTTTTGCACGGTCAGATAAGGGGATTTGCCAGTATCCTGAAAGTAAATCAATTTTGGAAATTATCTTAGCTTGACCAACTTTATCAATAACGTCCTCTATCCGAGGTAATGGATAGGAATCAGCTTTGGTGAGCGCATTCACCTTCCTAAAGTCGGTCATAAACCTGAAAGATCCACCGTCTTTCGGTACTAGGAGACATGGGGAACTCCAGTTGCTGAAACTGGGCTCAATGATATCATTCTTGAGCATAAAATCAATTTCATCTTTTATCAAAGCAGCTTTTTCCGGGTTAACTCTATAGGGGTGTTGTTTAATGGGTTTTGCGTCACCTACGTCTACATCATGAGGTGGAACCTTCGCTTCTTTGGGGACGTCCCCAAAAATAGAGGGAAATGTCTCGAATAATTGAGACAATCTATGGCTTTCCTCTGTGGACAAATGCATAAGGTGGACATTCAAATTATCTAAAAAGGAAGAATTTACCAATTTTGGGGGTTTCAATTTATCATGTATCACATCATCAGAAACATTTGAACATACAGGTAAAGTAATTTTAGCTGTGGAATGAAAATTGTTACAATTATCATAATATTTTTTCAGTGAGTTAACATGATACACTGTCTGTTTCTTTCTTCTGTCGGGCGTATTGACAACATAGTTCAAATCACTTAATTTTGAATGCACTGTAAAGGGTCCACAATATCTCAGGGATAACGCATTGTTCAGATTAGGCACTAGCACAAGAACTTTGTCGCCTGGATTGAATGTTCGTTTACAAGAACTCTTATCATACAGTCCTTTCATTCTCACTTGGGCCTTTCTTAAGTTCTTGTGAGCCATTTCGCACACGGCTTTCAATCGAACGTGAAAATCGTCGAAGTTTTCCACAGGATGATCGCTGGTACCTGTCCAACGTTCGTGTATCAGCTTCAGGGGGCCACGGACAGAATGTCCAAACACAAGTTGAAAAGGCGAGTAGCCTAAAGAGTCCTGGACACAGTCCCTCGCGGCGAAAATAATCCAAGGAACAGACTCATCCCATTGGGTGTTACTGTTAGCGAACGTTCTTAGCATGGTTTTGAGGGTTTGGTGGAACCTCTCAAGTACGCCTTGAGACTGAGGGTGGTAGGCTGAGCTGGTGATGTGGGTAACGCCTAGCTTGGCTAGTGCTTCCTGAAAATGGTGACTGGTGAAGTTGCTGCCTTGATCTGTTTGCACGATTCTAGGTAATCCAAAGGTAGTGAAGAACCGGGTCATGGCTCTGACTACAGTCTTTGCCTTAATGTTCCGTAAGGGAATCGCCTCGGGAAAACGGGTACTTGAACACATAAAGGTAAGTAGGTACTCGTTGCCCGCCTTGGTTTTAGGCAAGGGACCTACACAGTCCATGACGATTTTTGAAAAGGGTTCTTCTAATACAGGAATCGGACTCAAAGGGGCCTTAGGAATTGTCTGGTTTGGCTTTCCGGCCAACTGACAGTTCGTGCAACTTCTACCGTAACGCGACACATCTTTTCTCATTTTGGGCCAAAAGAACAGTTCTTTGATCTTCGCCGTCGTTTTAGTGACTCCTGGGTGCGCTGACATTGGATGGTCATGTGCCAGCTTAAGTATTTCATGCCGATAAGGTGGAGGGACCCACAGCTGGTTTTTACCCAACCATGGTTCGGCTGGTGAGGCATTCACTGGTATAGCGCGACGAAAGAAGAGGCCGTTCTCGGAGAAATATTCTCCATCGTCAGATGATAGAGATTTTTCGACCGTTGCTTGGAGTTCCGCGTCGACTTGTTGAGCTTTAATGATGTCTTCCTGAGATATCCTCAGGGGTAAGCCCAGACTTGTGTTTTCTGGAAGCATAGACTCCAGTTTGGGAGTCGAATTTCTTGACGATGATGGCGGGTGTGGTTCAGACGTTATGTCAGCCAATTGTTTGGTCTGGCTTCTTGTCACCGCACATGCAGGATACAGTTCATTATCATTATCTGGAACTGTTGAGAAAGGGTCTGAAACCGTACAGGGGTATACTTTGCTTCCCGCAAGGTCATTCCCTAGAAGTAGGTGTACTCCTGGGACTGGAATACTATCTATCACACCTAAAATGACCTCACCTTCGACGAGATGATGTTTCAGGGCAAACTTGTGTAGAGGGACGACAGTAGATTTTGTCCCCACTCCCTGGATAATGGAAATCCTTCCGGTGTTCGTCTCAGGTGAAATGTCCATTGAACTTTTCAAAAGGAGCGATTGTGACGCTCCTGTGTCTCTTAGGACGGTGATATTCCGCTGAGACAACGGATCACC